CTTTAGCAGGTATGGAGCAGGTTTGAGGGGTTTAAAAGAGCAGAATCGTGTTTTTAATGGCAGAGAAATATCGTTTTTAGCTGGGAAGTTGTGCTTTTGGAGGGCTGATATCGTGTCACGACCAGGGCCTGTGGGGGAGTTTTTGGGGGGATAGTTAATCCCAAGGGGTTTCCAGTGACCCAGTAGAGTGGTCCTTACCTGGACTCGGTTCAAAGGTCTCTATGACCATGTCCCCCATGGCTCTGCTGCCGATGTGCTGGTGCAGGATGGCCGCTCGGTCCAGGTCGGTCTTCCCACTCAGAGTGTGTTTGGCTAAACCCAGAGCTTTTTCCTCCAGTTCCTCCTCTGACATGCCTTCCACTGTAAACCAGTTTAAAAGAAGATCCAATCAACAAACTTCACCCACAAGATCTCAATTACGCGTTTCCAACAAACGCGAATTACCGGGAACAGCTCCCTGCTAGCCGTTAGCCGCCGGTTAGCCGCCAGGCTAACTTTTAAAATGAGCGTTTTGATTAGGAAAAAGCTCACTCCAGTTCCTCCTCTGACATGCCTTCCACTGTAAACCAGTTTAAAATGGGATCTAATCAACAGACTTACCCACAAGGTCTCAATTAGGCGTTTCCAACAAACACGAATTAACGAGGAACAGCTCCCTGCTAGCCGTTAGCCGCCAGGCTAGCCGTTAGCCGCCGGTTAGCCGCCAGGCTAACTTTTAAAATGAGCGTTTTTTATAAGGAAAAAACTCACCTGCAGAGTACTGGAAACCCTGTGGAGAGGGAGACTGGTCAGCTATTTCCAGACGGATGACGACGAGCGAAACACTCATGTGTCAAGGAGGACGTGCCACTTTTTGAGAAATCAAAACAAACCGCTGACAGCTGGGCTAGCTAAAACTAGCTACGCGGTGCTAGCTGGATGACTAAATTTAGTCCCGTAAACTCGTCTCTATAAAGACAAAAATCGAGTACTTTTACTTTCAGTTCAGTTATCCATGTTCGTAAAGCTATCTGACTTCAGGGGCCATAATCAAGAGCAAATATTTATTTGGTAATTTCAGAAATATCCCCCTTAACTTCAGCTTAGGTTGTTTCTTCTTCTACGGAGCCCGACTTCTTCTTCTACGAAAACTGAGACCATCTACTGTCTTATTCACTGCTCCCAGTGGTGACCTTTTACCAGTGCACCGATTGGATTTATATTTTTCATTTACATTTCTTAAAATGTTTTCTCTGATGGAAGACTAAAAAATAATAATAACGTAATCTAGGCACGATAATATTATTTAAAATCATTATCGGAAGTTTCCAATAAAATAAATTGAGAAAATGTTAAATGTACATTAAAAAAATCTTTCCCCTGTCGTGCTTTGTTTTGTTTTAAACCAACATTAAATCCAAGAATGAGTCAAATATGCATTTATGAAGGCCATAATATGAGAAATGTGCCGATACATAATTTTAATGATAATTATAATAACATGACCTTATATTTTTTCAAATGCAAATGAAATTGAAAAATAGTCAATAAATGTACTGAAATAATCTAAAAATATAAATAAAGATGTAGTATAGAAATATGAATCATACTAAAAGGTAAGATGGTTTAAAAATGACCTCCATTTGGATTTTAAATGAAAAAAAAAATTAAAAAAGGGTCTTCTGTCAAATTTTAATCTTCCTGAATGATTTAAAACCGGAAGGTGTAAAAGTCTTAATTGAATTAAAAAAGATTTAATGTGCATCTATAGTTTGTGGGCACATGCTGCAAATAAATGGAGTACATTTAATTAAATTTACCGTAAAAATACTCAACCCAACATGAAAAACTGCTACATTTTCTGCATTCAAATCAGGTTTAAATCTAGTTTTGTATAGATAAAATGATCCAGTGGTTCACACGGACAGATGAAGACAAGCAGAGCAGCTCGATTCTCACATTTAACCTTTTTTATTTAAAAAAAGCTTCGACATTCCAGTGTTTCTGTTTTCCATTTTTCTAACAAAAAAAGGGGCGAGACGACACTCCAGATTGTCAACCATCACTCTACACCTCCACAAACGCACCCGGTCGGGGGGGAAACGCGTTCTCCTCGGGTCCGTCCAACAGGTCCGGCTCTTCCAAAGGCATTTATCAGCAGAAGTTTAAAAAGGGGGGGGAGGGGGGGGGGGGGGTGCCCTTAAACTACGTTTTCAATAAAAACCAAAGAGAGGAGAGGCCGGGCCCCGTGTTGGGTGAAACGAGGCGGAAAAAAAAAAAAAGACAAAAAACATAAACGCGGGAAAGAGTTCGGGGGATTTTTCTAGTTGCAGCGGCTTGAAAAACACACTCAGGTCCTCACATCTGCACTTCCAAAAGGCTGCCCCAGCTTTTATTTACAGTCAGGTCCAAACGGGGGTGTGTGGGGGGGGGGGGATTGGGGGGTTTGCAGCTCCACACACACACAAATGCTTGTGGTGCACATTCATGTTTAAGGTGGTCACACACTCCCGCTTACAAGCACCTCCATTAAAATGAGAAAGAAAAAGAAAATAAAAAAAAAGGGAAAGTGTGTGTGGATGTGGAGGGTAGGGGGGGTCAGGGTTTTTTTTAGGAGGGGTTTAAAAGACGTCCTGTTACTTGGCAGCTATGGAAGCAAACACACGACACACACACGCAAAAAAAAAGCCAAAGTAAAAAGTAAAAGAAGACAGAATGAGCCAGGAGGCGTGTCATCGGGCCGTCAAACAGCTGGAAACAACATCTGGAAAGCCCCCCCCCCCCCTTACCAA